AAGAAGAAGCAACAGCTCCAGCACGCGCTGCTGCCGCCGCCAACGTACGCCAATTTCAAGCAGGTGAAGGGGTTGTGCCCCCCCCCCCCCCCCCCCCCCCCCCCCCCCCCCCGCAACCTCCTGGTGAAGCTCTACGTCACGTTCCTCTCGCTGCCGCTGACCCTTGGCGCCCTGGAGGCGCAGCAGCCGATGGAGGAGCTCCCGCCGTCGGAACCACCGCCGATACCGACACTGCCACACTAGGCACTCCCATTCGTCTCCCAGGTCTGGACCCCGATCTCGACAAAGCGCTTCAAGATCCCATGCAAGCTCAAGTTGCACACGCTGCTAGTACTTTTCAAGCTCAAGCCAACATACTGCTCAATGTTCACGCGAAAGCTTTCGCCAGCTGCTCGCACAACAAGTTCAAGCTACCGAACGACGAGTCGACACCCCCCATGATGTTGTCGCCCGAACTCGCAGAGAACAAGATCGTCAGGCTGAGGAACACAAGAAGATGTGGATGCAGATCGACCAGATGCGAGAGACCCTCGCGCTCGCTGAGGCCCAGGCGCCGATCACGGATCTCACCAAGCTCGCTGACTGGGACCGCGAGATCGACCCCGCGATCTTCACCATCGGGGCTCAGCGGCTCATCACGCCCAACGTGCTCCTCAATGACCTTCAGGAGTGGATCGCCTCCGCCAACCTGGGCTCAGACGCTGTCGAACTTCACGGAGACGCGCCCGCTCGTAGATTTGTGCTTCAAGTCAAAGGAGGGCGAGATGTGGCTATCCCGCGCGCCATGGCGCTCTCACGAGCCCTCCGCGATGCGGGGGGCAGGTGGAAGCGCATCACATCTGTCGACACCTCGGGCACACCAACGGACATCTTTCTCAACCCTGACAAGTCACCTAAGCAGATTCGTACCGAGATCCAATGCTAGAAACTCCTCCAGCTCCTTCAACATCGGCATCCGCAAAAGTCTTGGAGAGCCTACCGAACCAAGGGCGAGATCCACTGCAACGCCATGCCAGTCGCGCGCCTCGACGTCAAGGGTCAAGCCGACCCCGCCATCCTGGAGTGGAACGAGAAGTCGTTCGAGTATGCCATCTTCCGCGACCTTGAGCGCGGAGCCATCCTCTCGTCGTTCCAGTCGCTCTTCGCGGACACGGCGGAGGCCACGCGGCGCGTCTAGCCACCATTGGGCGGTCTGGCGGCAGGACATTCGCCTCGTCTGGCGTCTGCATTCCACCACCGAGCTCACCGCCAAGTTCCCCGGCAACGTCGCCGGACTCCTCGCACTCACGGCCTCTGCCGAGTTCAAGATGATGACGGATACGCTGTTCGTTCCGCGACATCGTGACCCAGCAATGCATCGTCACGCACCTGCTCAGCCGCCCCCTCAGCGTCGCCGGCGCGCCCGCCAAGCTGCACATCAGTGTCTTTCTGCTCCGCACTCCGCTTCCCGTTTACGGGCTCGTCCCCTTGCCGCACTGCGACCAGCTAGCCGTTGGCGTGCCCCTGGACCTTATGGAGGACCTCATCTGGCATCCCTGCCCCAACTCCGTCCTCATCCTCGACCTGAACGACTCCGACCACGCGTTCCTACCGAAGGATGACAACCTCACAGGCGAGCTCACCACGGATTGCCTCCCTGTGGACACTTGCCCGCGGATCCCCAAGTACACCGATATCAAGGCCATCGCTGACGCGGCCAACTTCCTCACCAAAACCGCTGTGGCAGAGCGGACTTGTTACTCGCAGCAAGACCTGGTCGTGGGCCGCAATCTCACCAAGCACGCCGTCAACTTCGGCATCGAGATGCGACAAGCTGGAGTTCTACCTGAGGCCGACAAGCACATGCTCGTCTTCAACAGCTTCGACTTCGCGGCTGAGCCCCTGCCCCTCGGCCGCGGCTGGCTCCTCGCGTCGCTGGAGTACCTCGGTGCCCTAGAAGGACTGATGAACCTCTCTCGCCAGCTGGACTTCGCTCCCAACAGCTTCCTTCAAGCTGATGGCGTGCATTACTTCATGTTCCCGCTCGATTTTGGAGCGGCCCAGGACTACCCAGTGGGCGGATCGGCATGGGTGTTTGCCATGGACCTGCCCGTTCGCCACGCCGCCTCGTTCGTCAAGACCTACAACGGCATGCGCGACTACGACAAACGCTTCCTGGGCGGCTGCGCCGTCGACACTGGCCCCCCCGCGCTCTCGTTCAACACGCTGTGCGCCGACAGTGAGCCCTCTGCTGCTGCTCAGCTGCTTGCGCCCCTCCCCGCGAAGCCCCGCAAGTGGGCTATCGCCACACTTGCAGCGAATTCTTTTCAGCTCACGCAGAGTGGCAGCGTTGCCACCGCTCGCCTACATAATACAACAGTCGTTCAGTGCTCAGCTATTCCTCGCAGTCCATTCCGCCCAATCAGAAGCTCGCCCGCAGTGAACATTACATTTTCCTTATGATGCACAATCTCCTGCCCGTCGCACTTCGCCAAGTAGATATCAGTGCCATTGCTGAGTGGTGCCCGCCTTCTGCCCCGCACCCAGCTCAGATTTCAGTCGTCGCCGCTGCCGCTCGCTCAGCCACTTTCACACCCCGTGGAGAACGGGGGCTATTCTTCAGTGCCGATCCGTTGCGCGCAGCTGCCACGGCCGCGGCGAACCGCGCAGCTGCCGGCGAATTCCTTGAGGCCCGAGTGCTGGGCCACCGCGCCGCACAAAGGTGCAGCGCGCGGTTGCGCTCACGCTGCTGCGGGCCTCCTCCTTGCCATTCTCAGTCACGCTCGTGAAGTGCATCGCAGCCTGGGGCTTCCATCAGCCGCATCCGCCCCCAGAGCTCGCCACACGCTGCAATGATCGCACGAATGCCAGGCACCCTGTCCGCATGATCTGTCGCTGGACGGTATATAAGACACTCGCAGGTGAATGGACGACGCCCCATAGCATGCAAGTTCGCCTGCAGAAGTCGTCCGTGGAAGGGTGCCCAGCAGCACCCGATTCATTCCCCCACTACTTCGCCCGCTCGGTCCTCTTGAGCCTCCCTTGCTCCACCGTCTCGCCCAACCTCCACATTGCGTTTACAACTTGGGACTTTGGTCCCGTCGCAGCCTATCCGTCTGAGCCTGCAAACGAGATCTCGTTGATGCGGCTGATTCAGTGGATTGCGCTCGCATTTAACTGCTTTTACGAAATGAAGCACGCCGCGCCGACCCCAGCTTCGATAGCTGAAGTGTCGTGGGCCATCAAAGCATTGCTCTGGAAGTAGTCGCGCGGTAGTCGGACAGGAGCGGGCAGTCTTTGCCCTCGTCTCGCTTCTTGCCCGCTTGCCCTCGTCTCTTCCTCTTTGGGTGCTTGCGTTCCTCCTCCCCTTCCTCCTCCTCCTCCCCCTCCTCCCCCCCTCCTCCTCTCCTCCTCCTCCTCCTCCTCCTCCTCCTCCTCCTCCTCCCCCCCTCCTCCTCCTCGTCCTCCTCCTCCTCCTTCTCCCCCTCCTCCTCCTCCTCCTCATCATCATCCTCCTCCTTCTCCTCCTCCTCCTCATCATCATCATGTTTTCCTTTATCTATAATTCCTCCCTGTCGCACCCCGAGGCCGGTCGAAAGGGCGGACCGGGCGTTTCGCTTGAGTCTTCCTCACCACTTTTGAGCCTCATACTGAAACATTGGCAACAGCTTCACAGATAGAGGGCGGGTGATGTTTTAAGTGATTCTCGCCTCAGCGCCGCGCACATCCGATAGAAAATTTGGAAAGAATTCACGGATTGAGGGTGGGTGGTTTTCAAGATGTGGTTCTCGCCTTAGCGCCGCGCACATTCGTTTTCAACGCTTGCAATAGCTTCATGTTTTGAGGGCGGGTGGTTTCCAAAGTGTGATTCTCGCGTCAACGCCACGCACATTCGCTTTGAATTGTGCCAGAGTTTCACGGATTGAGGGCGGGCCGTTTTCAAAATGTGGTTTTCGCTTGAGCGCCGCTTACATGCTTTAAAAGTATATGATTTTTACGGATTGAGGGCGGGCCGTTTTCAAAATGTGGTTCTCGCCGTAGCGTTGCGCGCATTCGTCTTTAACGTGTACAAGAGGTTCACGGATTGAGGACGGCTCGTAAAATGTTGTTCTTGCCTTAGCGTTGCGCACCTTCGTTTAAGACATGCGCGAGAGCTTCACGGGTTGACGGCGGGTGGTTTTCAAAATGTGGTTATCGCGCTAGCGCCGCTAACATGCGTCCCAAACATTTGGAAGAGCTTCGCGGGTTGAGGATCGGCTCTTTTTCAAAATGTTGTTCTCGCTTGAGCGCCGGGTGCATTTGTCGTAAACGTTTGCAAGAGTGTCAATGGTTTTCATGGTTCACGTGCCAGAAACTGCGTGCTGGAACGATTCAGGACTATCAGAGCGCAGCAGTTATGTTGTTTCGCGGTGTTGGAGTTCCAGGAAACACAACTCAGAATCGCCAATACGTAACAGTCAGGTTAACTCGTGGCGTTCACGTCCTCAGAACGGTGTTAGGCATGCCTCAAGATGTTTACACGGCTGTCCCCCAACGGGGCAATTCCCTCAGTGGAAGTGACCCCGTGTAGGGGCCTATGAAGAGGAATATTGGAGGGAGGGTGTATTTCAGCATTGTTGCTCATGAGTTTTAGGTTTCCATTGGTCATGGTTCTCATCCTCGTCCTCCTCGTCCTCCTCGTCCTCCTCCTTCTCCTCCTCCTTCTCCTCCTCCTCTTCTCCTCCTCCTCCTTCTCCTCCTCCACCTCCTCCTCCCCCTCGAGACTCAAGACTGCGGACGTGTCTCCTGGATCCGGTGGAGCCCTCGAGATCCTCCCTCCAGCGAGTGCCGTGGGAGAGGTAAAAGAAAGTTGAAAAAGAGAGATAGAGAGAGAGAGAGAGGGAGAGAGAAGAAGAACTGACCGAACGGCGGAGTGCGACGCCTGATGAAGAGGTGAGGCCTCCTCCTCCCCCACCTCCTCCTCCTCCTTCTCCTTCCTGGGGGGCTGGGGGGGGAACAGTGCCGCGGCGGCAGCTCCCGAGGATGAGAACGCCATCAAGCAGTGGGCCGCCACGGACAACGAGTACGCGGTGTTGTCGACCTACCCCACCAACGCCGCGGAGTTGCAGGCCTCCTCCTCCTACTCCTCCTCCTCCTCCTCATCCTCCTCCTCCTCCTCGCCCTCATTCTAGGCCCCCCAGATGAGGTCCGAGTAGATGGGGTCGGCGGCTCGATGTTGAGCCCGCTTTTCTCCACGCCGACGTCGCCGGTGCATCGCCGATGCATCGGCAATGCGGCGCGATCATCCGATTCCCCCATGGAAGGCCTCTAACCATCGCCCTCCCTCCTTGAGATCCGACGTTGCAAACACATGCATCATCGCAAAAAATCAAGAGCAGAGGCCCAGACCCCATCCTTCTGCGTCGTTTTCCGAGCCAGATCGATATGTGATGTCCCTGGGGCCCAACACCGGGTGAAAACGCCCGTTGTGAATTATCCTGGCGAACGACCCAACCATTTACAGTTGTGAGTACCGCGTTGTGGGTACCGCTTTCGGTGGAATTCCCTTTGGGGGCACGAAGTGTGTGAGGGGTGTGCCGATTTGGGCGCGGTAGTACCATGCGAACGCAGCCAGTGGAGCTCCCCATGGGGCCACGAAAAGTGTGAGGGGTGTGCCGAAATAGATCGGGCGGGACCGCAAGCGAACTGCGCCACTCGGACCTTCGGTGCAGCTCCCTAGGGGGCCGCGAAGCGTGTGAGGAGTGTGCCGAAATGGGCCGGGCGGACGCATGCGAACTCACCGTGGAGGTCCTCGGTGAAGCTCTATTACGGGCGGACGCATGCGAACTCACCACGTAGGCCCTCGGTAGAGCTCCTTGTGGGGCCGCGAAACCTATAAGGGGTGTGCCGAAATGGGTGGGCGAACGCAAGCGAGATGCGCCATCGGGACCTTCGGTGCAGCTTCCTTCCAGCCACGAAGCGTGCGAGGGGTGTGCACTAGCTGATGGCGATGATGGTGATGATTACGGCGATGATGATGACGATGTTGATGATGATGATGATGATGAGGAGGAGGAGGAGGAGGAGGATGATGCTGATGATGATGATGACTATGATGACTATGATTACTATGATGATGATGCTGATGATGATGACTATGATGGTGATGATGATGATGAGTATGATGGTGATGGTGGTGATGATGATGGTGATGATAACGATGATGATGATGATGATGATGATGACTATGATGGTGATGGTGACGGTGATGTTGATGTAGATGGTGATGGTGACGGTGATGGTGATGGTAATGGTGATTATGATTATGATGGTGATGATGATGATGATGATGATGATGATGATGATGATGATGATGATGATGATGATGATGATGATGATGATGATGATGGTGGTGGTGGTGGTGGTGGTGGTGGTGGTGGTGGTGGTGGTGAGGATGATGGAGGCAGGGGGAGGAGGAGTGAAGAACGCGGGGTGCTGACTCTTCAAAACGAGGACCCGACACCACAGGATGGTTGGGGAAAAGATGCAGCGCCAGAATCTGCCGTGGCCGTCTTGGCTCGAGAGACAGGTGCGCAGGGCAACCCCGCCCGCCGGTGTCCCTTGCCGCCAGCTGGCGGGCCGCGCATTGGCTAGCACGCAGCTTCCAGGGATGGCGGCTTCCGCAGGCGACGCTGGAGCGGCGGCCGCCGACGGGCTGCACGGGGCAGCGGAAGAGGGCCATCTGCGGGCCGTGCGGGCGTTGCTGGACACGCCAGACGTTGAGGTGAACGGCAAGGCCGCGGTCGGGGAGGACAAGGACGTGACCCCTCTGCACGTCGCAGCCAAAGCGGGCCACGCCGAGGTCGTCGGGCAGCTGCTCGCCGCCCCCTGGCACCGACGCGAACGCCGAGAACGTGACCCCGCTGTATTGGGCAACCGGCGAGTGCCACGCCGAGGTCGTCCGGCAGCTGCTTGCCGCCCCAGGTATCCGCTGCATTGTGCAGACCAACGGCGGCAAGACCCCGCTGCACGGTGCAGCCGCCAGAGGCCACGCCGAGGTCGTCCAGCAGCTGCCCACCGCCCTGGGTATCGACGCGGACGCCAAGGACAAGTACGAAGGCATGACCCCGCTACACAAGGCAGCCAACGGAGGCCACGCCGAGGTCGTCCGGCAGATGCTCGCCGCCGCGGGCATCGATGTTGACGGCTCGAACGTGAACGGTTGGACCCAGCTGCACGAAGCAGCCGGCGAAGGCCACGCAGAGGTCGTCGAGCAGCTGCTCGCCGCCCAGGGCATCGACGCGAGCGCCAAGTCCAATGACGGCTTGACCCCGCTGTACCAGGCAGCCCTCATAGGCCACGCCGAGGTCGTCTGGCAGCTGCTCGCCGCCCCGGGCATCGACGCGAAGGCCAAGGCCGAGGGCAGGTTCGGCATGACCTCGCTGCACTTTGCAGCCAACGGAGGCCACGCCGAGGTCGTCTCGTAGCTGCTGGCAGCCCCGGGCATCGACGCGAACGCCAAGGACCAGTTCGACAGCACCCCGCTGCAGTGCGTAGCCGCCGGAGGTCACTGGGATACGTTCAGCATCCTGATACTGGAGCGTGAAGCCGCTGATGCGGGCATCGAGGTGAGCGTGGGGACGCTGGCGCTGCTGCTGAAGGCAGACGGCCAACCCGCGCTGGAGGCCACGGAGTCGCTGACGACAAAGCAGATGCTCTTTGTCAAAGGGAGGCCTAAGATCCCAGTCGAAGCGTCCTTGCCCGACCGACTCGGCCCCGTTGGCGTGGGCTCACATCCATCAGAGACCTAGCGCGCAGACGATTTTCTCAAGGCGCTCACTAACCTTTCTGGCACGACTGGAAATACATGGAAACACGAACAATCATTGCTATTTCCTGCCCCTCGTGTCCCAGTGACTGTGCACAGCTTGCTTGTGGACGCGAAGACGTTCACTGACGACCAGGTAATCAACTTGCTGGGCGAGATCCGTCGCATGAACCTTCTGTCCACTATGTTTGTGACGGCTATCATGGCCAACATTTGGCAGACCTACAAGATTTGGGCTCACGGCGACGTCTTCCTCAACATGCTTGCACGTAGAGTAGCAATGTTCGTCTCGGCCGCGGTGCAAGCGGGAGAATTCAGTCCGAACGGTCATTTTGTTGCGGCATCGGTACTCGGATGCATTGGGGTCAGTGCATCTATATCTATATATATATATATATATATATGCACACACCTACCTACCTACCTACCTGCCTGCCTACCTACCGACCTACCTACCTACCTACCTACCTACCTACCTACCTACCTACCTACATACATACATACATACATACATGCATACATACATATACATACATATACATACATACATATATATGTTTTCCTCTTCTTATCGTTTACAAGCTAGGGGAGTCGGCAAACCCCGTCCCCCAAAGTGGACCCCCAGGATCGCGAGTTTCTGGGCCCCGGCTCGTCACCTGGCTCGTCCCGGGCCTCCCAGGGCGCTTAGCCGGGTCCTGCCAGCAGGCCCCAAAGCGATCAGAGCGTTGATCAGAGAGGCCGACGAGAGACCTAAGACAGCACAAGAGCGATCCAAGAAGGACCCATATGGCCTCCAGAGGCCCCCAAGACTGCCCAGGAGACCCTCAACATGGCTCCCAGAATGCAGAAACCCTTTGGTTCCCTGAGGGAAACGTGCATTTTCAGCACAGTCGCTGTTCGGGTCTTAGCAGCGTCCAAAACAGCCAAAAATGCTTCCGTTATCGCCCGAAGGCGGTCCAAGAGACCCCCAAGACAGCCCACGGCGTTGATGGCCCCAAGATTGCCCAAGGAAATCCCAACTGAGCCAAATTGACGCCCAACAGGCCCTCGCAAGGCCCCGAAGCGATCAGAGCGGTGATCAGAGAGGCCGAAGAAAGACCCAAGACAGCACAAGAGCGCTCCAAGAAGGACTCTGGAGGGCCCCCAAGACGGCCCAGGAGGCCCTCAACAGGGCTCCCAGAACGAAAAGATCGCCTCATTCCCCGAGGGAAACGTGCATTTTCAGCACAGTCGCTGTTCGGGTTTTAGCAGCGTCCAGAACAGCCAAGAAGGTCTCCAGAATCGCCCCAAGACGGCCCAAGAGACCCCCCAAGAGAGCGTCTAGACGGCCTGGACGGCCCCAAGACTGCCCAAGGAAACCCCAAATGAGCCAAAAAGAGGCCCAACAGGCCTTCACAAGGCCCCCAAGAAAAGCCCAAGAAGGCCATGGGAGGCCCCCCAAAAGGCCATGGGAGGCCAGCAGGAGGACCTACGTAGCCTAGACCAAATGTGCATGTAGTAAGATACCAAGCCCGGGGGCAGCGCAAAGAACCCCGCGCGCCTCAACGCGGCACGGAGCATTCCCGTAAAATACACGCTTCGCAAGTGATGTTTCGACCTATTGTGATGAATCCACCAGTTTGGCCAAGACGATCAGAGCAGAATGGTGGCTAGGGTTTTCTAGCCGCCAGCGGAGCTGGAGCCTCGCTAGTTTGAACTCTCCTCTTCTTGGACGGCCCAGGGCCGCCCCCAGACGGCCCGAGACAGCCCCACACACACACACACACACACACACACACACACACACACACACACACACACACACACACACACACACAAACACACACACACATGAAAAGGGCCGCAAGAGGCTCCCAAGAGGGCTCGAAACGCGGACACATCGATCGAACACGCTCAAGATGGCCTCCAGATGGCCCACAAGGCTTCCAACACGGCTTACAACACTCCTCCGAGGGCCCCAAGAAGCCAACATCACTGGTTTCCCTCAGGTTTGGGATGGATGTCAGCAATTCTGCCTGTTCAGCGTCCCGACGCTCCAAGACGGGGGCCCTCTGGGGGTGCTCCAGGGCCGTCTTAGAGGCCATCTTGGGCGTCTTCGAGGCCTCTTGAGCCGTCTTGGCGCCCTCTTGGGGCCGTCTTGGGGGCCTCTTGGGCCGTCATGGGGCCATCTTGGAGGCCTCTTGGGCGATCTTGGGGCGACCTGTGGGGCCTCTTGGGCCGTCTTGGGCCGTCACGGACACCGAAATATCGCCCCAACAGGCCCCCACGAGGGCGCCGAGACGGCCTGGGGACGCTTCGCCGCGGGGCCTTCGGACGGGGCCTTCGGACGGGGGGCCCCGGGGGCCCTGCCGTGGCGCCAGGGGCTCTTAAAATTCGCCCGAAGACGGCCCCGGATCACCAGAAACGGCGCTTCCAGAGCGCGAAAACGACCAATGACGGCCCGAGGCCACCCCGGAATTAGCCCTTGACTGTCCAAGAGGCCTCCAAGAGGCCCCAGACGGCTCGAAGATGCCCCCCAAGGAGCCCCACAAATAACTTATTTCCTTTTGGGTTTTTGAAGGATTGTCTGGTTCTCGCCTTTTCAGTCTCCCGACGCTCCACGACGGCCCAGGAAGCTCCAATGTCAGCTCCAGGGGTCTCGAAGACGGCCACAAGACAGACCAAGACGGCCCCCAGACGGCGCCAGAGGCGCCCAAGACGGCCCGAGACGGTCTCAAGACGGCCTCAAGAGGGAGCCAAGAGGGGTAACGCGAACCGAGAAACCGGGCCTTCCACCCCGAGAGGTTCTCAGAAGGCCCCAAGAGGCCCCAAGAAGCGCCCCAGGGGGCCGAAGAGGTTCTAAGAGACCTCCCAAGAAGGCCCCAATAGGTAAAAATCATTGTCTTCCCATCGGTTGTTGATTGATTTTCGAGGTTTCAGCCTTTGGGCGCCCCGACGCTCCAAGACGGCCCAAATGGCCTCCGAAAGCGTTCCAAGATAGCCCAAGAGGCCTCCAACAGGGCCTCAAGACGGCCCACGAGGAACCCAAGAGGGTGCCTGAGGCGCCCAAGACGGCCCGAGAGGGCACCAAGACGGCCCCAAGAGGGGCCCAAGAGGAGTAAGACGAATCGAAAATCCGAGCCTTCCACCCCGAGAGGCTCTCAGGAAGCCCCAAGAGACCCCCAATAGGATCCAAGAGGCTTTCAAGAAGCTCCCCAGAGCGCCGAAGAAGTTCCAAGAGGCCTCCCAAGAAGGCCACAAGAGGCAAAAATCATTGTCTTCCCATCTGTTTTTGATTGATTTTCGAGTTTAGCCTTTTGGCATCTTGACGCTCCAAGACGGCCCAAGATGCCCCCAAGACCGCTCTAAGACAGCCGAAGAGGCCTTCAAGAGGGCCCAAAGACGGCCCACGAGGGCCCCAAGACTGTGCCTGAGGCGCCCAAGACGGCCCGAGAGGGCCCCAAAGACTGCGGGATGCCTAGGAAGCGCCCAGGAGCGCTTTAGGAAGGCCTTGGGTGCCTTGGGGAAGTTCCGGGAACGCCCAGGTGTCCCAAGAAAGGGAACGCGAACCCAACAGCAGAGCATTCCGCTCTAAGAGGCCCACAGGAGGCCCCAAGTGGTCCGACGAGGCCCCCAAAAGCTCCCCAAGAGGCCCCAAAAGGCCCCCAGGAGACGTATAAGGGGCCCCAAGATAGCCGAACAATGCCCTCGATGCATCAAAACTGCCTCCAGGAGGCCCCTGGGAGGCTTCCAGTTTGCTTCAATGTGGCCCCAGGTGGCCTCAAGTCGGGCCTCCACGCAGCCAAGATGGCCAATGACGGCTTCAGATTGCAGAACATCACCTTCCGACTGCCCGGAGAACCCCGACGATGCCCCCAAGGGGCACCAAGAAACCCCTAGACGCCCCCCAAGAAGCACCCAGGACGTGCCTCCAACTGCCAATTGAGGAGGCACGGAGAACCCCCCCAGAAGCCCTTCAGATGCCCCCGCGAAGACCCAAGAGGTTCCCAAGAGACCCTCAGGAGGTACGACTATGTCACGCGCCTGTGCTTGATAGCGCTGTCCAAGATCATCCAGCGCCCCCCCCGGCCTGGGCTAGAACCTGAGCGCGCACTAAGGGTCTAGTATGTGTATATACACACACATATACATATATGTACATATATATATGTGTGTATAGGAGCGCGTTTCTTTATCTTCGGCGATGACGGGCGTCATGAAGGGGGGGGGGCGGGGGGGGGATGACGTAACGCCCCCCCCCGCCGTGTGGCTCCAGCACCAAAACCGCGCCCGCGCGCACGACGACGACGACGAAGACGACGCGAGCAGCACGTAGGTGGCGATCTGCCCCACTGCGCCTGTGTACACCAAGACGCTCGCGTGCACCACAGCGCGCGTGTACACCACAGCGCATGCGTACACCGCAACAGCCGTGTGCAACGCACCGCCCGTGTACACCACAATGCTTGGGAACACTACAGCGCCGGTGTACATACACCGCAGCAAGCATGTGCAACACAGCGCCTGTATATACCACAGTGCTTGCGTACACCGCAACAGCCGTGTGCAACGCACCGCCCATGTACACCACAATGCTTGGGAACACTACAGCGCCTGTCTACCACAGCATCCGCGTGCAACGCAGTGAGGATCTGCTGCGGACAACTAAACGCCACGCCA